CCCTAGCAACAAGAATATTGCTAAACACACTTGATATAAATACCTGCATTAATCTTAACAATGCATTGACACATGTTATGTATGTATCGTAGTCCACATCAATGATTTCATCATGCGTATGTTTCATATCTGGCGTCATTGGAGCCTGACGACGATAACCTACAGGTAAAAATAGATTTCACATGCTTAAATTTCAAAAATCAAATCATAGAAAATAACGTACTCCAATTAACACTGTGCACATCAACATAAAAGATAAACATTGATTTGTGTGGGTTTAAACTTCAACAAAAATACACATATATTAAATTACTGTTCTGTGTTTTCTCAACAACTTGGCGAAATACAACATATTTGGTGTATTCAGTAACTGTCAACAAAATTCTGGGTCAGAAGGTTTAGTTTGGTAAAAGTATTCTCAAACTATAGATAGATGAAACGAAATACAACATTGGTGGAATGACTATAGATGATTTGTAATACACGATTTACATCGTAGTTGTAGTTGGTACAAAACTAACCTGCATCTAGCTTAGGTAAGGTTGATGTCTTCTTCTGAATATTAAATCTAAAAAGAAATTAATAAAAAAGAAATAGAATCATAGCATTATAATAATACTTACTATATCTATAGCATCCTAAAACCTTAAATGAATTACTTACGCAGATCGTTTCAAAGCAGATCTCTTGGGGGTGTCTTTCGCAGTCAATTTAAGTTTCCCACTCCCCTGGAGAGAAAAGAATAGATAAACATTTTTTTTCTCAAATTATAAAATATAAAAAAAACTTCTCAAAACCCTGACTAAAACTAAATTTGCAGCATTTCCCTCTGTGATTATCAGAACACTAATTTGGAATATTTGATACAGCTTCACAAAAACACTGAGAATTATTTTAGGTAGACTGAGAGATTACTCTATAATAAACTATTAGTAACTAGACCATACTCAATGGAGATGTATATGTAAGTATATACCAGACAGTGAATATGCAATATGAACTATGTTTTCTATCTCTATCATAGAATGGCAATCTCCCAAGGCAGGTTAAAAACAGTGAAATTATTGTGTCTTTGTTCTCTTGAGAGTCTTTACCTTGGGTGTTACCCATCTGGACTACAAAGCTCCACACCAATGTGTTTAGAATATTACACTGGACATAATAGCACAGTATGTATGATATTAACAGTTTGAAGAAATGTCATAATAAAATAGAGGACATGTTTCATATGCATGAAACAGAAAAATACAAACAAGCCGGTAGCCTGGTCGGCGTTCCGCTCTGCTCAAAAAACATGTTGATAACGATGCCGGTATATAAAGTTCGGAAAGAGCATTCAGTCATCATTGGGACTTAGGTTGATACAGTGTAACAATGTCGGCACCGGTGATCTCTCGTTGGTGCATAACTTAGCCAAAATAAAAAGAAAGATTATTTTAACACTGCTATTACAAGACTAGTAGGAGACGCAAAAGTATTCAAAAATCAAAAAGTTTTTTTGCTGTTACCATGGCAATGATGGACCAGGAATTTTTTTCTTATTTGACTGCCCAACTAAAGTGACGGTATGATTTGCCTGCCAGGTATGTACAAAATTGGCCCACCCCCAAAAAACACAGAAGAGTTAAAACGCCATTACTGGTGGAAAGTTACCCTAACTTTGAGGTCAAATTTTTGGAAATGGAAAAAGATATCAACAAATCAGATAGTAACATTGTGCCCACACTTAAGCTGAGTAGAATGAGCTATGTCCGAGGAGTTTAATCCAAAATTGGTAGGAGAAGACACATTTGGCGCGAAGCAAGTCAAAAATCAGAATTTTTTTCAGATTTTACCACCTAACCAGTATGAAGGTGTGACCTGCCTGCCAAGTTTGAATGAAATCGGCCCAGCCGAGAAAATCACAGAAGAATTAATATGTGAAGACACAGAAAATCATTTACACACACACACACAGACAAAAGTGATTTAAAGAGCAATCCTATTGGAGTGGATCGCCAATAATGCATACTGTTCATGATAAACTATTTTCAAAAAGTTGTAGTAATTTATACCCCAAGATAATGGTATCTTCCAAAACCTGTTCAACTCCACTGATGAGAAGAACTCACGTAATTGCTTTGAAAGCAACGTTGCTATCTGGCTAACATGTTTGCTCGCAAAAGCACCGAAACACTACGTAGTAGCATATATGTATGAGGGATTGAGCCACAAATCCTGATAAATCAACTTTTTAAAAATCAGTAGCTGTAAATGATACAATCATAGACATGGATTTGGAAAGAAATAAACAAATTAAAATGAAACAAAGTTTATCAGAAGACTTACAGGTGCTGGAGAGTATGGAGTTCCTTGAGAACCTGATGATTTCTTGTGAAGATGATCTTTCAATCCCTCAATAGATTTCAAGAGAATACTAGATCTGACTTGGTGGTAGACATTAATAAAATCTAGACTGCGACCTTGTGTCAGTAACCATTTACCAATGACAGCTAACTCCTCCATCGTTCTCTCTGCATGTGGCAATGTTTATTTTAGTTCATATGAACACAATAGAAACAGTTATGGGCATGGTAACTGTAAGACTGGTTTGATTCAAAGCATTCCAAATAGAGCCAAGTAGTTTGTTTGATCTGTGATCATGGATGAAACCATGAAATGTGAAATCCCAACAGTTACTGGTGAGCCACTTGGGCAAGTAGTGTGTCTGGTCTGTGCAACAGGTGGTCATGGTAAAAGCCATGAAATGTGAAATCCAACCAGTTACTTGTGAGCCATTTGGGTAAGTAGTGTGTCTGATCTGTGGAACAGGTGGTCACGGTAAAAGCCATGAAATGTGAAGTCCAACCAGTTACTGATGAGCCATAAGGGCAAGTAGTGTGTCTGGTCTGTGAAACAGGTGGTCATGGTAATGGCCATGAAATGTGAAATCCCACCAGTTACTTGTGAGCCATTTGGGCAAATAGTGTGTCTGGTCTGTGCAACAGGTGGTCATGGTAAAAGCCATGAAATGTGAAATCCAACCAGTTACTTGTGA